ACTCAACTTCCAAGACACTGTCCTTGGCCTCAGTTTACAGTCCAGTAATTTCCCTGTGCCTTGAGCAGTGCCAGGAACAAGGCAGAGCACATACATGGAGGAATGAGTGGAAGAAAAGGTTGGGCCCAGGTGCATGGGCATCAGTTGGACACCATGTAGGATGTGACGGATGACACCATCTTAGTGAGAGCACAGTGAGCCTTTGAAGGGATGAGAAAGTGTACCCTAGTCTCTAGTGCTTTTTAGTCTCTTTCCAGATCTATATTTATTTTCTCCTTCCCAGAGACACCATCCCCACCCCCAAGAATCCACTCCATATTCTATCCCTGCTGTCCACTTGTTGGTCAACCAGAATCCTGGAATGTCAGAGTTGGAAGAGACCGTAGGATCATCGTATTGAACCTGCCTGATTCAGCACCAGGACTAACAAAGTGCTAGTTAGTCTGGGGCAGAAAGAAGCCCAGGAAGTTTAGGGACATATACAAGGTCACCCAGCTTGACAGCAGCAAAGCCCTAGAGTTGGAAAGAGACTGAGACAAGGGGACCAGAGTGATTTGAAAAGTGATTAAGATTTCCTTTTCTCTCTGATTTTCAGGATTAGGGCTTAAGTACCTGGGCTTCTTTCTGCCCCAGACTAACTATTACTTTGGTGTCAGAAGTAATTTAGAGTATTTAAGCTTAGACACACCCTTAGCAGTCAGCTAAATTAATTATGTTTATTGGATTCCCACAAGTAAAACACTGTGCTACACTTTTGGGATTCAAAGAAGTAGCTTATACGTATAAGACACTGCCCATAACCTCAGTTTACAGTCTAGTTAGTTCAATTACATGCAGTTAAATCGTGGGTGGAACAAAAATGCCAGAGAGAGCCCTTCCTTGTTCATTCTACAGCTGTCAGGCAGGAGTCACTGGGTTTAATGATATCTTTCTGGAGAGAGGGGACAGCCAGCTGCCAGAGGCTGTCTCTCCCCTTCTATAAATTTGCTTTCTCTTCTTAAATAGTGAGTAGCTGATCCTCAGCAAGAAGGAGGGGTTTGTTTATTGTTCTAAAGATCTCATGATTCCTGTTTAAAGAGGGTGTAGGCTTGCAGTAGATTGCTGTAGGCTTAAATTCACTGAAGAGATGGAAGCAGCAGGCTTTGTGGGTGCAGTCAGAGCAGCTGGGAGTGGGTAGCCTCAGGCTAGGGCCTCTGGTGGGAACACAGAGGAAAGCAGTCGTGAGCTGGTGAAGGAGATGGAAGTTGGGGGAACTTCCCTGGGGGTCAGCTCACCCAGAAGACAGAGTACCACTGGTGCTACAGGACCCAATAGAGGGCAGTCAGCTGGTCAGGACGCAGGAAATGTGATGGATTCTAAATCTATAGGATCTGGACTGGAGAGGGCAGGCAGTGAGCACCTGAGTGTCCACGTAAAAGAGTCAAGTCAGGGCTAAGAGAGCCCTTCATGACTTAGTTTCTAGAATAGGTGTCACCTTTTTACGTCCCAGAGATTTGGTTTGCAGTCACGTGCACAGCTCATTGAAAGGCCCTCTCTTGCTGATCCTGCCTCAAACACCTGGGAAGAGGGACAGAGCCAGGAAGAGAAAGGGGTCCTTGCACAGGTCCGCTCTGTTATTCAAGCTCTGCTCATATCCTGCCCTCTCCATAAAAGCTTCCCAGCTTCATTTGCTCATCAAGTGCTTTTTGGCACCCACTCTGTGCTTGGGTACTGGGTGCTGGGTGTTAGGTTCCAAGGACACAGTGGGAAGCAAAACAGGAGGCCCCATCCCCAGGAGCTTAGCATCCAATGGGAGGAAGTGCTTGTTGATCAGTCTCCTCTCTTACTATTCCTGGTTAAGGGCATGAGTTCTGGAGCCATTCTGCCTGGGTTCAAAGCCTCCCACTGCCACTTTCAACCACTGAGACCAGGCCTGCCTCCTGTAAGCAGAACGCCATAACCGCAGTGTGCTGGGGCAGCTCCAGAGGACACCTGCTGCTCTGTGCAGTTACGGATTGTGCTCCCTTTCACTTAAATACACATCTCTAATTTTTTTTTTTTTAATCCCACCAGTAGTGAAATTTCTCTTAGAAATAAATATAAACAAAACACATCTCAATTCGGGTAAAAAAACTGTATGGTTGGTTACCTCACCTACAAGTTTCGGTTTCCTTATTTGAAAACTGAAGTTAATAATACAATCTACCTCATAGGATGGTAAAAATTAGCCAGGGTGGTTGTACGTGCTTGTGGTCTCAGCTACTTGGGAGGCTGAGGTGGGAGGATCACCTGAGATGGGGGGAAGTTGAGGCTGCTGTGAGCCATGATCACGCCACTGTACTCCAGCCTGGGCAACAGAACAAAACAAACAAATAAAACAAAACATAAAATATCTATGAAGTGCTTGGAACACTGGCCCAATAAACTCTCAATACATATTAACAATTACTGTTATTATTTTAATTATGATTACTGTCCCATTGGGCTTTGGTCCTCCATTAGTGAGTGGGTCCTTAAGTGAGGGGCTGTTGTACACCTCTGTATTCCTAGCACCCAGCACCACACACTGCACAGTGGTGACTTGGACTCAATGTCTCCTCAAAGAGACTGGGATACAGGCTTCAGCCATATGAGGCTGTACTTGCAGAATGGGTGGACTGTTCAGAGATACTGTGTCCTATCTGGTTTCAGACGGAAACACGGAGAAAATGGTGGATGTTCTCCTCCTTCCCTTTCTGATTAGAGGTGACAGATAAAATACGGAACATCCAGTTAAATTTGAATTTCAGATAATGAATAATTTTTTGTGTCAGTATGCCCCCAGTATTGCATGGGACATGCGATTAAAACATGATTAAAACATGATTTGTTGTTCATCTGAAATTCAAAGTTTAGTCCAGGGTCTAGTATTTTTATCTGCTGACTGTGGCAACTCTGTCTCTGAGTTCCTTTCCCACTCTTTGTGGCCCCTGGCCAGCAGCAGTGCTCCCTCTCAGTATCACACTCACACAGCCACAACCACAAATCTTTCCTCGCCTCCTATTTGCCCTCCAGGGCCAACCTTAGGCCTACTCGTGGGACACTTCTCATGATTTAGCTTCTTCCACCAGGAGGAACTGAGAAAGAGTGGGCAGCAGCAGATGTCAGTGTGTCAGGGAGCCAAACTGCCCACTGGATTAAAGAGACTTCCAGATGTCCAGGAGTGTCCCTGAGCTCCTCCCCCTGCAGAGATAAGGGGAAGCTATTTTCTTACCTGGCCTCAGGGAGAAAAGGGAGAGCAAGGATGAAGCCAGCCTTGAAATCCTCATCAGGTTTTCCCTTCCCATAGGTGTCTTTGTCTTCTAAGCCTGCCTCTGCATGAACCTCCTGGTGGCTCTGCTCCTCGGCTACCAGCCACATTTTTGATGGTATGAATATGTGGATGGGCTGGGGCAGGGGGATATACCTTTGGAGCACTCTTCTAGAAAAGTGAGGAGGAAGATGCCAGGGTATCTCTGAGTTTAGGAAGTATGAATTGTTAAGAGTACCACCTCCCCTGGCTCCTCTCTTTTCCTCAGAACATTTACTGTGGGCCAGGCCCTGGGCTAAGTCTGTCACACATGAGAAATCAGGGGCTGAGGGAAGTTTACTGCCTTGCTGAACATCATTCAGTTTGTAAAGTGGTGGGGCAGGTATTTAAGCTCAGTCTCTCTGACTCCCAACCCCACTCTTAACCAGCCTCTTATACTGCTCTGTTTTCAGAGTTCACCCTGGCACCTACTAGGTGCTCAATAAATACTCCCTGGAGGAATGTATGATTGAATGTACAAATGAATGGATCATTCTAAGATCTACATTTATTTCTGTAGACTCGTCTGTCAATGATAATCAGGAGAATGATTTGTTCTGACATGTTTATATATTTTTGATTTTGAAAAATTCATCAAAGTATAATTTGTGATCAAATAGTTCAAATCACAGCCTCTGGATGCTAATTTCATTATAACATTGTGTGTATTTGTCTTTTTTTTTTTTTTTTTTTGAGATGGAGTTTCACTCTTGTTGCCCAGGCTAGAGTTCAATGGCGCAATCTCAGCTCACTGCAACCTCCACCTCCCGGATTCAAGTGATTCTCCTGCCTCAGCCTCCCAAGTAGTAGGGGTTACAGGCATGTACCACCAAGTCCTGCTAATTTTGTAGTTTTAGTAGAGATGGGGTTTCTCCATGTTGGTCAGGCTGGTCTCGAACTCCCAACCTTAGTTGATCCGCCTACCTCGGCCTCCCAAACTGCTGGAATTACAGGCGTGAGCTACTGCGCCTGGCCTGTATTTGTCTTTAAATGAAAATGTTTTGGTTCTAGGCCCTGAGTTCCATAGGCTCTTACTTTTTTTTGGCATGTATTACAGTTTTGGGTGGGTACATATTCCCTGTGTAATTCAGGATGCAGCCAGTTTTGGGGGCCGTCATCCTTGTGGGATTCTCAAATCACAGTCTCTGGTTTTGTCCCAGCCTTTTTAAGAACCTTACTGAAACATGCTCTGAATTTCAATTTTATGGGAAGCAGCAGTAACCAATGGTCTCTGCATAGCTCTGAGTAGTCCATTGAGAAATTTATTTTTTCTTTTGATCTTGATGTACATTTGGTATTAATTTTTTTCTTGGTGTATTTCCATTTACACATGAATGACCTCAGTCTGTTTTTAGCAAAGCATTGCTAGAGCTGGATGAGGATGCAGGGCTCATTAACAAAAAATCATTGAGGGGCCTAGGTTATAACTGCTCTTTCAAAGCTCACACAGCCATAACACACATTCTGTTACACAAACACAAACACACAGTCACAGCAGGTTGTGAAACAGAGAGGGACTCTACTTTGAGGAATGTGGCCATGAATATGAAAAAGTAAAACAACCATGATCTTAACAAAAAAAGGTGGTGGGGACTAGGTTAGATACAAGCTGTGACCTGTGGTCTGCTATCATTTTGATCAACATTTTAGGAGTGCCCAGAACTTGTAAGTCTCATGTCAGAAAGTGAGAGGCGTGCTCACTTGGGCAGCGCATATACTAAAATTGGAACCATACAGAGAAGATTAGCATGGCTCCTGCGCAAGAATGACATGAAAATTTATGAAGCGTTCCATATGAAAAAAAAAAAAAAAAAAAAAAGCACTTTGGGAGGCCGAGGCGGGCGGATCACGAGGTCAGGAGATCGAGACCATCCTGGCAAACACGGTGAAACCCCGTCTCTACTAAAAATACAAAAAAATAAATTAGCCAGGCGTGGTGGCGGGCGCCTGTAGTCCCAGCTTCTCGGGAGACTAAGGCAGGAGAATGGTGTGAACCCGGGAGGCGGCGGAGCTTGCAGTGAGCCGAGATCACGCCACTGCACTCCAGCCTGGGTGACAGAGCAAGACTCGGTCTCAAAAAAAAAAAAAAAAAAAAAAAAAAGTGACAGGATGTCTGGGAGACCCCTGAGAGGTAGCAGGAATGTCTTACACACATATCTTTGGTTGTTACATAGTATCAGCGATGCATTTTTTACTGCAAGTTACCACGACCATTCTAAGTGTGCAACAAGAGTATATATAGAAGCCCTGTGAAGTCCAACTGCCCATGTTTATAGATACATATTTAAGAAGATAGGAGTCATACTGTTATCAGAGCAGATGGAACTCCCTTGGTTTCACTAGAAACGTATTGCAAGGGTTCATAATGCTAATTCTGGGGAGATTTTCTTCTCACAAGCTATGTGACCTTGAGCAAATTTCTTAACCTCTTGGTGCCTTAGCTTCCCCATCTGTTAAATTGGGAGAATAATAGTAACTCCTTCACAGAGTTGCTGAGCAGATTAAATGAGTTAACCTGTGGAAAGTACTTAGAACAGTGCCTGACATAAAAAGTGTTACATACTAGTTTGCTATTATTATTATCATCTGCAACAGCAACACCAGCTTACGACAACCATGAATGTCATGTCCTCACTGAAGCTTTTCCAGGATTCCTCAGTTGGATGCATCCTCTCCTCCATGACCTTTATGACCATCTGTCTAACTCTACCTAGACTAAACTATGTGCCCTACCTCCCTGACTATCTGCTGTCCTTGACTCCAAATATCCTCCTGGCTAAGAGAATATATGTGGACTCCTGACTCCCAACTCCTCTATAGCATCAAGACTCATTCATTTTTTTTTCATTCAGCAAATATTTATGGTTATCTTCTCTGTACAGGCTCTGCTGGGTGAGAAAACACATCCCATGATATTTCCCACGCTAACGCACACACTGAAGGAAAGCTCACGCAGACATTTGCTCAGCTCCTCTGGCCAGCTGAGTGAGCACGGGAAGAAGTCAGGTATAGCTAAAGTGATCTTACATTTTGAAAAAAAAGAGATATGTGTTCAGACAAACATTAGCATACTTAAAAGAAGAGCAAGGCAGAAGAATAGATTTGGGATTTTTTCAGATATTCTCAGCCACATGGTCAACAAAATTAAATCACTCCGGAAAGAGACTCACTTTTAAATCTTTCCTGGAGACCACAGCCTTGGCTTGTGCATGGAAACAGCACCCACAACCACACTGCGCACTAGGCTGGGTACCTCATATTCATGGTGTTTGATCTAATTCTTACAAGACCTTGTAAGGGAAGAACTGTCATTCTCCTTTTAAGAGAAGGAAACTGAATCTCAAAGAAATATGTCTTGTCACATCATACAGTTGGCAAGTGGCCCAGGCTCTGCCCCACGTAAGGTCAAAGGGTGCTAATTTTCAAAGACACTTGAGCTACTCCTATATGTAATTGGTCACTAAATCCTGCTGGACTTAGACATGGCATTTGGGAGAGTGACCTCTGGAGACCTTTGTGGATCTTCAAATTTGGGAATACTATTAGAACACTTGATGACAAAATGAGAAGGGAACAAGTCACTTTAAGAGATAGCCATTGGTATCAGCTAAGCTCTTTTCCTGGATAAACTATTAATTTCTAGACACTAGACCCTTTGTGTGTGCCATAAATGTGTGGCCCAGGCAAATCAGAAATGACCAAATGGCATGTGTCTCGTTGTGGTTTTAATTTGCATATCCCTAGTGGCTGATGATGATGAACATCTTTTCGTGTGCTTACCATTTGTCTATCTTCTTTGATGAAATGTCTGCTTATGTCTTTTGCACATTTTCTAATTAGATTGTTCGTGTTTTACTGCTGAGGTTTGAAAGTTTTTTAAATATATTCCATATGCTAGTCCTTTGTTGGATGTGCAGTTTGCACCTATTTTCTTCCTCTTGTTATCTGATTGTTCCGCTTCTTAACAAGGTCTTTTGCAGTGTGCATTTTTAACATTGATGAGGTCCAGTTTATCAGTTTTTCCCTTTGTGGGTCATGCTTTTGGTGTCAAGTCTAAGAACTCTTTGCTTGGGCCGAGATTCCAAGGATTTTCCTTATTTTTTTTTCCTAAGAGTTTTATAGTTTTGCATTTTATATTTAAGTCTGTGATCTCTTTTGAGCTAACTTTTATATAAGGTATAAAGTCTTGCCGGGTGTGGTGCTTCACGCCTGTAATCCCAGCACTTTGGGAGGCCGTGGTGGGTGGATCACGAGGTCAGGAGCTCGAGACCATCCTGGCTAACACGGTGAAACCCCGTCTCTACTGAAAATACAAAAAATTAGCTGGGCGTGGTGGTGGGCTCCTGTAGTCCCAGCTACTCGGGAGGCTGAGGCAGGAGAATGGCGTGAACCCAGGAGGCGGAGTTTGCAGTGAGCTGAGCTTGCGCCACTGCACTCCAGCCTGGGCGACAGAGTGAGACTCTGACTCAAATAAAAATAAAAATAAAAAAATAAAGTCTACATTAAGGTTCATTTTTTTTGGCCTAGGAATGTCTAGTTGTTCCAGCACTATTTTTTGGAAATGCTCTTCTTCATTCATTGCATTGCTTCTACAACTCTCTCAAAAGTTGGTTGGTTGTACTTGTGCAGGGTCGGGGATGCGGGGGGTCAGGGGGAGTTAATGGATTCTCTATTCTGTTACATTGATCTATGTGTTCTTCTGCTAATAGGACACCACCTTTATACTGTAGGTCTTGATACTGAGTAGAGTGATTCTTCCCACTTTATCTTTCTTTTTCAAGATTGTTCTAGCTATTTTAGGGCCTTTCCATATATGTTTTAGAATAAGCTTATCTATATCTACAAAAAAAACCTTGCTGGGATTTTGATAAGAATTGCATTAAACTTATAGTTAACTTAGGGGAAAATAGACATCTTTACTGTGTTGTTTATAAGATCTCTTTGATTTGTTCCTTCTGCGTAACTGCGACCCTCAAGGAGAATGTCATTAGCTAATGCCTGAAATTATTGACCAACCTTATAATTCACCTTTCTTTATGGTCTTCTGTTGTTCCCACTCATGCTGTGTGTTGCTGCCAAAATGATGAAACTCTAGCTCTCCCCCACCAAAGTTGCTGTCTTGTTCATGAATCTCAAATTTCTTCCTACTCCAGACCTAGGCCCAGGTTTACTCTCTTATTCAAACTCCCCAAATTTCCACTTCTCATTCAGTCTTGATATACCCAAGTAATTCATGACTCTGAACTGCTCCCTAAACATATAACTTAGCCAGGAATTCCTTCCACTCTGCCAATCTGCTTCCATTTTCTTCTATCAATTTAAGCTTACTCAATGCAAGAAATATTTCCTAAATAACTTGGTCATCTTGTACGAGTTCATACACAGTGGCAGGCCTAGCATATCTGACATCTGGAACACATGATTTTTAATGCTACTCTCCTCTACAGAATGGATTTATGTTCAGTAATAAGTGTATAATGCAATAACAGCAATCACTGGTATTTTCTGATTTTGTTTTTTAGTTTTATTTTAAAACTAAAACTCTTTTCAAGCTTAACTTGAATAAAATTCTATTTTTTAGCTTTGAATTCTGAGCTTCAATTAAAAAAGAATTCTACTTTAAAGATACTCAGTCAAATATTTCACATATTAACTAAAATTTGTACTTATGAAACAAAAATATCATACCTTGAAGTTTGCATCCCAAGTCACTGTTTTAAGTTTAAAACACAAATAAAAACCTCAAGTGGTCATATAATGACTTGAGTTCTGATTCTTTCTGTATTTACTATGCTATTTTTGTTTATTTCACATCTGCTGATTAAATGCAGGAATATGTAGTACTGCAGGAGCTAGAAACACACACTGCACCTGAAACAAGGTCACACTATTTAAATGAGTATGAGCTAATTGTTAAATGAACACTTAGTTGAGTCCACGTGTTACGTGGACATGCGTTGGGACTCAACTAGGAGTAACATCCATGTAACACCCTTGTGTTACCTGGTCATGGATGTCACTATGGGTAGGAGTTCTCCAAGTAACATCCATGTTGATACAGCATTTATTAAAGGACAAGGAATGAAAATGTACTAATCCATGTTTATTAAAGGATAAATAATAAAAGTGTACTAATATGCTAAATATATTTGCATACATATTATTAAAACTCACAGTCCCTCAAAATGTCAATACAGTGTCAACAGTGTTACCCTATGATCCTGCAATTCTAGCCCTAGGCATATATAGACCTTAAATGAATAAAAACATATTATCTGCATACAAGCTTGTACCCAAATGTTCATAGCACCATTATTCGCAACAGCCAAAAAGTGGAAAACAACTCAAATGTCCATCAACTGATGAATGGATAAACTGTAGTATATCCATAGAATAGAATATTATTAGACAATAAAAAGGACTTAAGTACCAACACAAGCTTTAACGTGTATGTCCCTTGAAAACATTGTTTAAGTGTAAGAAGCCAGAAACAAAAAGCCAGATGATTCCATTCATATGAAATGTCCAGCATAGACAAATCTATAAATATAGAAACTAGATTCGTGGTTTCTTAGAGCTGGGGGAGTAGGTGGGAAGGTGAGGGAATGGGAAATGGCTATTAATGGGTATGAGGTTTCTTTTTAGGGTGACGCAAATGTTCTAAGATTGATTGTGGTCATTGTTGTACAGCTCTGTGATTATACTAAAAACTATTGACTTGTATACTTTAAATAGGTGGCTGTGTGGTATGTTAATTATATCTCAATAAGATTAAAAATAAAACCAGCAGTAAATGCAGC